TATTAATGACATTATCGACATTCTAAAGACATTAAAAATCGGTAAAGCTGTAGGAAAGGATACTATTAGTCATACCATGCTAAAGAATACCTCTAATTCAGTTGCTTATCCTCTTTCATTGATCTTTCGATCATCTTTGGAAACCGGATATTTTCCCAAACAATGGAAACATGCTCTAGTTATGCCGTTTTNAAATAGACATCACAATGTCATAAACAACAAAATAGACATCACAATGTCATAAACACGGTTTAGCTATGTCTGGCATCTGATCTTAAGGTTAATATCAGCTTTACAATCGCACAACAAAATAAAAATTACTTAGGATGTACTCTGCTGAGGTTTCAAACACGTTCAAGTCTCATTTAGATCTCGTGTAATGGTGTTTTGTAATATTTTACAAATTATGACAAATTTCATTACCAAACAGTTTTCTGGGGAAAAAAATGTGTCAAAAAAATAGATGTCTGTTGTTTGAAGAAATGTTTAATAAGAATAAAAAAAAATGAGACTTCCAGTACCAATAAAACTTCCAGTACCAATGAGACTTCCAGTACTATTAAAACTTCCAGTACCATTGAGACATCCGGTACCAATGAGACATCCGGTACCAATGAGACTTCCAGTACCGTACCAATGAGACTTCCGGTACCAATGAAACTTCCAGTACCAATGAAACTTCCAGTACCAGTGAGACATCCGGTACCAATGAAACTTCCAGTACCAATGAGACTTCCGGTACCAATGAGACTTTCGAAATGGATGACGACATAAAGACTAATATACTAAACGATTACTTTGTTTCAATATCTACTCTAGACGATACTAACATTGACGTACCTGTTATAGAATCTAAAACAGACTCGACCATTTCAGACATACCGTTTATTATTAATGACATTATCGACATTCTAAAGACATTAAAAATCGGTAAAGCTGTAGGAAAGGATACTATTAGTCATACCATGCTAAAGAATACCTCTAATTCAGTTGCTTATCCTCTTTCATTGATCTTTCG